TCGATCTTTCGATACTATTGATGCTTCACTTTTAAGAGGGGCCCTATTTGCTATAAAAATTACCAACAAAAAAACAAACTTGCTTTGTTTCACTACTGAGACAATAGTAGTGCAGTTTAAATTGAAAAATACTGCATTTATGTCATTTCATTGATAGCTGTCACATCTTTGAAAACTAGCTGCTGTGCTAAGTGTACGAATTTATTTACTTACAGTTTTTACCTCAAGGCTTGTTGTTTGAGAATTAGTTTCTATAATATGATTTTATTATTTACTAGCTTGCACCCGTGACTTCGTTCACGTAGATTTTCCATTTAAACTTTTATTAATTTGAAAGGGGGAATGTGAAGTTAGTCTATTTATTTATTCTTTTCTTGATTCATCAACTCAAAGCAACACCCCACTTCACCTCGTTGATTTTTAAAAAGTATTTTCTTAGTGCACATTTACACCCTCAAAAGTCAAAATTCTAAATTTTATGTTTACAATTTTGTTTAAATGTTTGCACCCTGTTTCATCCCGTTATAGGTTGGTTTTTGAAAAGTGTATGTTTAGTGCACTTCTCCACTCTCTAAGAGAAATATTTTCCAAATTTCATGTTTCTATCTTCGATTAAAAGTGCACACTCTATTTCACCCCTTTAGCAACTGATTTTAAAAATCCTTCGGTACGAGGCTCGACGGTTGGATCTTCAACTGCGTTTTAACATTTTATAAGTGAAAATCAGAAATTTCGTCAAACTTTAGTTTGGTCGCATTTGACAGTTTTTCAAAAACTACCCTAAGTCGGTGTTTTAGTCTCCCTAAGATACCCGTGATTTAACGCGACAGTAATTTGGTTCCTTTTAATATTGAAAATCAGAAATATCGTCAATCCCTAGATTAAACCTTTATCTCAATTTTTTTCCAAAAACCACTCTAATTCGGTACATTAGTTCCCCAAAGACACCCTTGTGTAAGACAAGGTTTTCCACCGTAATTTTTATTTTATTTTTTTTTGTTTTTCTTTCTCACTTTTCTTTAGGGAATTGCAATATTATTCCTGATACTTACATCGTTTTCTAATCTCGAGTAATTTACTAAATACGTTTTTATAAACAGACCTCGAGAGTTTTTTTGAGAAAACCCATAAAACTTGGAATATTTACGAGGGTCAAGTCAAGCCACCCCCGAGTGGTCGATGATCGAAACCAGATGTCTTTTAGACTGTGAGAACCAATTCTCCAAAAATCGTTGAGTTAGAATTAGTTTTAACCCACACTTCATCGGGGTAGTTTGAGTTCGAGTGTGAGTGTTTATTACAAATTATTATTCAAAGGTGAGTTTGTCACTGAGTAATCTGGGTTCCATTGGTGTGAGTGAGTTATCACTGAGTAATCTTGGTTCTATTGGTGTGTGATGTTTTCCAATCCAATAAGAGGTAGAGATTTATGATATTTGCCATATCAACGGTAGGGTGAGTCGTTTAATAATTATTTTAATCGCTGTGATGTTGATATTTATCATTGTTGAAAACATTC